CCCCAAAACCCCAAAACCCCAAAACCCCACTTTGTCTTTATATTTTGTAAATTTGAAATATTTATGATTAATTAATAAGAGCTCTTATTTTAATTTACATATGATTTTTCTATGAAAAAATATACTTAGGATATACCAACAATAAAGCTTTTATTACTACTTTGAATTAGAATATTTGTTCAATTTAGTCCTAAATTATATGAGGGAGTGAGATGATGGTAGCCGCCTCCATCCATGAACCTTGTGCCAGAGAGAGCCAGATTTGAGCCTCGAGGGAGTATTTTGTGGGAACTGCCATTAATAGACTTCTTACTTCTGGCCAGTATCCTTCGACCAGCACTTGGATGACTAGCATTTTCATTTGAATCCTCAAGAGAATTCTGACCTGAATTCACTTTCTCATAAATTGGCTTTTATATCTGCCTCAAAATATTGAGAGACTGATCTCTCTAGAGTCGATTATTTTAGTTTAGCAAATTGAACTACTGAGTCTTTTGGTCCTGAGATGGAGATATCCCAGCCCTGTTCTAAAGCTTCTAAGTGCTCAAGAATCCATTACTCATACTTATTATAGACTAAGGATGCTTTATATGTTACAATGCCTCATTTGACATTCTCTGCAGAATATTGTATTAATTGGGATCACTTGACTGCTTAAGTAGTCGGTTAGATTTATTACTACCAAGTCTTTTATTCATAACCCCACCATTATTATACCCGTTATATCCACCTGATTTCTAATCAGTTAGTTGCCCATTTTTAGATTGCACTCCTATAAGACTTCCTTTACCATTTTTTGATGGAGTTTGATAGATGGAACTTCTCATTTAGTCCTTCATCAGCATAGTCTTACTGGGAACATGTCCAACATAAGCATTATTGTCAAAGTAGCCCTCTTTGAAAGTACCATCTGGAAATATCATCTTTCCATAGCCATGCTGTATTCCTTTGAACCACTAGCCAATATATTTACTTCCATCAGTCCAAGTCATTTCACCGTAGCCGTTTCTTTCATCATCTTAATATTCTCCTTTATAATGATTTCCTGAAGCCCAAAAAAACTCTCCCTATCCGCACTTTTTATCACCTTTATATTCTCCAGCATACTCGTTGGTTGGTCCTCCGATTACCTCAGGTGCTTTTCTCCATTTACCCTTGCCACATTTAAGTCCGTTTTTGAAATTACCTTCATATACTGAACCGTTTGCCCAAGTATAGACACCGAATCCATCAGGTTTTCCAAATTTATATTCTCCTCTGTAGCTATCTCCATTAATAAATAAATCAGTACCCTTGCCATGCTTGAGAGAGTTCGCCCACTCACCTTCATATTTATCTCCGTTCGCCCATGTGAATACACCATAGCCCAATGCCCTTCCATTGTCCCATTCACCAATGTAAGAATCCCCTTTGATATTTTTCCACATGCCATATCCTCTTCTCACACCTCTGACCCACTAGCCGTCATAGACTTCTAAGTTGTTGTTCCAGGTATATTTGCCTTGGCCATGAGCTTTCCCACAATCAAAGGCACCTAAATACACATTTCCGTTGTGATACTTCTCGAAGCCCCTTCCACTTCTTAAATCATTAAACCAATCTCCTTCATAAACTCTTCCACTTTTATATTTCATGACACCCTTGCCTTGCCTTTTAGTTTCTATAATTTCTCCAAAGTAAATGGCATCAACATATCTTTTCTTTTTGTATATCTGACTGCTGCGCAGAAATTCAATGTTGATCTCCTTAGACTCTGGGACATACTCCTCCAGAAAATTGTAGTTTATGATAATAGATTGCTGTGACATTTGATCTTGAGTCTCATTTACAAAGTTACTAGAGCTGTTTTGCATATTGTTAATTGTATTCATTGTTCATGTCAAACTAAACAAATGAGAATAATTACGAAAAATACTAGAATTACCTCCCACCGTCTGAATGAGGAGGAGTTCCAGTTCCAGCAGCAAAGTTTGTCGTGTTATTTTGGTAGATTTTCATCATCTAATCATCTTCAACATCAATCTACATTTTATTTATTGTTATTATATTGATAAATTTCTTACTCTTTCTTTTACATCCAAATTATAACTAGGGGTTTTGGGGTTTTGGGGTTTGAGCCATTCTATCCAT